ACCAACGCGAGTAAAGTACTGTACAAAAATATCAACTAGTTACAGAAAACAAAGCTACCAGCTCCCTCTACTCTATAATTGTCCTTGTATTAAAACCACATTGTATAAAATCATGGCAGAAAATATTGTAAATTATATTTTATTCCATCTTGAAAACCAATAAGAAAACCTTTAATGAACACAAATGTAATTTTGAAACAAGGTTAAGTGGTAGGATTAACAACTAACTATCTTTCATACACTAAAAAAATCGGAGACACCTCCGTTGGCTTCCATAGACTCCCTTGGAAAACAATTCAAAACTACAAAGAAAATATCTAATCCCTCAGTGAAAAAGACATAAAACTATAAGTTTTATGTCTTTTTCAATTTGTATGTCTGATGGATTATAAATCCATCAGACATACAAATTAAAATCACATTGGTGTTTGAAAAAAAATTTTGTGTTCTTCAGCAGCTGTTTGAAACTATTCAAGATGACCGTTATCCTCCAATGACTCTGAAAAATATCAAAGAGGCCTTTAGTCATAAAATGAATAAGTCGTATTTAATAATAAGTCTTTGACACTTATATAGCCTGATTTTTATTCTGTGAAAAGTAAAATTTCCTTGTTTTATTGGATCCCAGTTTTCATTGTATGTATTCAATACATAAATAAAAATAATACTATTTATTTGACGAATTCAACCTAATAATTGATACTTTAGCATATAAAAGTACAAGTTACTAAGTTGCTGTTCTAGCATTTGTTCTGCGCGATGCAAGTTCAAAACCGGCTAATTCCTGTTACCTATGTTATAGTGTCGTTGGTTTGGAGCCCATCCTAAGTTGTAGGTCTACTTAGTTCCTTAGATGAGGAGACTTTTTACACTGAAGAAACTCATCACGATAGTTGAACCAAAACATAAAAATGAGCTTTAGTAGTAAACATACCATCCATATGGGCCAGCAAATGAAAAATAAATGAGCAAATGAGCAAATGATGGGCTGTAGCAAATTTGTTAATTAAATAGTTTAACTATCGGATTAAAGAGTGTAACACTGTATAAAATTCTATTCTCCCCCTTAAGTGTTTGTTACTGAGATAGTTGACGAAGTATAAAAGACGAAACAACAGTTGACAGTTCAGTTTGGCTTTGTTAACAAATTTGCATGCAATATAAACCAGTAATTCTCATAAATTACCTAATTGAAAATAATGTCAACTACGTTTATTTCTCTTAAACTAGCTTCATAAAGATGGGAAAGGAATGTCCAGTTCTATCTATGGTAAGTATAATTTGGTGTTTGAGACGGGCCTAGTTTAACTTTTTACCTACAAATATGAGAATATAGGTCCATGCAAGAGTATTATTGACTCTGTACTCCCTACAGTCGAGTATTTATTTCCGAAGCACATGTCTTGGACAGCAAGTCCCGCGGGTGTCGTGCCACGGTTCCGCCTCACGTCTTCGCTTTCAATACCACGGATCAACTAGCATCTGCTGGGATCTAGATCTACAATTACGCCTCTCACGCTATGTTCTTTAATAACTCCGAAGCTAGCATAAAACTATTGATCTGTGGTTGAAGAACAAAACTTTAATGGATTTGTATCGCTTTCCCCAAAAAGCGTTTGGATTAACTTAATTTATAAAAACTAGAGGTCATCCAGTGGTCGAAAACTCGACCAAAAATATGTAAATTAAATTAAATAAAAAAAATAAATGAAATGAAAAATTCTTTATTTATTCAGGCAAAGTTAGGGCCACATGGCCGTTTCTTACACTATATGTAATCTACAGTATTAACCCCACACTGTAAATAAAACGTGTGATAGGAATTTGTTTTGATTTTCTGTTTATATTTTGTTGTTATTTCGTCACCATCATGGCAACCCATAACTCCCATGCTATTTTTTTTTTAAGTTTTCAAATTAATTTTTTGTGCTTATTTTTGAGCCTATTTTAATTTATAAAGGGATTCTGCACATCTACAGGAAAATATCTTTCCAACAGTATGCGTAGATTTTCCCTGCGATGCACACGAGCTGAGAAAAAAGGTTTTAAAGAAACGTGCTTGCCTATTAATATATAGACGGATGTCACTGGTCTAGACATAAGCAAAAAAAAAAAAAAAATAAATAAAAAAATAAAAAATAAGAGAATTAAGAGCGAGATATTGTTCTTAGTTTAATAATAGGAAGTCACGGTAGTGAGCTGATAAAGCCTTGGCTCGTACTAGGAACACTTGCACAGTCGTACGTAAGCCTACATGTACGAAAGCTACTAGGAGGTCACGAATTGTGGATATTTATAGGCATGCACTGTGGATGCGATACTCCCTGGTGTGGATTAACGTCCGCATTAGTGAGTACTGCGACTATCCGCAGTACTATCCTGATAATTAGACCAATTCGTATATACCTAGGCAAAAGTGTGGATCGGATTCCACTATAAACTGTAGGTCCCTTAGTTGCCATTAGCTGTATGGGCTATTAATTAACAGCTGTGTCTAAGGAATGTCGGCCTTAGTCTCTAACAAGACTACAAGATTGCGTCACTCATCCTACACTCATCTCCATTCAGACTTGACTTAAAATACCTACTTTGTATGGCCGCCATTTAAAAAGAAAGTATAACAGTATAAAGAAAGTATAAAGTACATGTTATCTAATCGATAATATAGGTAGAATTTTACAAAATAATTAATTAATAGAATTACAATAGAATCCTGGTACTACCAACGTTCTAAGACCAACATTTTTTGTGTTTCAAAAGTCGTTAACGGTCAAAACGTGTTTATTTATAAACATTTGTTTCAACTACTTCAAGATATTAATACTGTAGACGAGCGTTTGAAATGTACAGTTACGGAAGTTTCGTGTTGTATCATTTTCAAATGTAATGAGTGAGCTTAGCCTAAACTAAAAACGCGAAATACTGTTTATTAGACTTCAACTGCTTTACTGTACGTAATCGTACTATACACTCCAAACACTCCGGGGAGCGAGCTGGCGTAGTGGTTAGAGCGCGGGACTTAAGTCCTAGAGGTACCGGGTTCGATCCCCACCAAGTCACCAATGGATTTTTGATAATGCCGCAAACCCTAGGTATAGCATGAAGTAATGTGAAAAACAATCCAAGGCTCGTGCCTAGCGTCCTAGGACAAGAAAAAAACATACACTCTACTCATTAACTTCACACTTTTGTCCATAATTTTCACATTGGGTATGAGATGTGATGTGTATAAAAATGTCTACAACTTCTGTAGAAGGACCAGCTGGTCTGTAAAACTAGTAAGACAGAGGGATTCAGTGACCCATCACTTTAAATTTAGCTGTGAATTAAAAGAGTTTTTTTTTTATTTTACTTCCCACCTTCAATGTTTTTGATGGGATTAGCATCGAAGTATCTATTAGTATCTTATTAGTTATTGATTAATATATATTGGAATCTAGCCATCACTATTAGCGTTGGTGAGAATGCCGATCGATGTACATAGTCACAGAATAAAAACCCAACCCTTTCTGCGATAAGTAAACATAACTTTACGAGTATAGTAAAACCTAGGGTTTGTTTGTCGTGACTTTAAATTCCACTAATTACTTGATAAGTATAGGAGGCAATCGGGCTGTGTACCATTGTATCAAAATACCCCTGTCGCAGCATACCTCACACTACGTGAGGGATGCTGCGATCAAGTTACTTTATTGGGACCTGTTCTCAAAAACAGAACATTTACACTTGCATTAGGTACATGTCTTGTATAAATAAATAGCGCGTATGGTTGTTGCTACGAGTTAAATAAATAACGCAGTGCAATAGGGAACATTTATTTGTTAAAACATGCAAAAGCTGAAACAAATATTTTATTTTGTGTTTCGAGAATATCTGAATATAGCCGTTTGCATAACCTTGCGATAAAGACTAAGTCGATAGCAGGAATGTTCATAAAAAAATAATGCTTTACGTTGAAAAGGTGCAAATCAAATAACTTCCAACTCAACAAGTCAAACTTTTATTTACATATATAAATTATACAGGAACATTAATGTGCTGTAACTTTATTTAACATTCAATTGACGAAAGCACTATAAAGACGTAGTAGACAGTTTCTTCGCTGCAACTATCGAGGCAAACTATATTACAAGGGCTTAACTGATACAAAATGTATTACACAAGGATTACATCTCTATTAATAAAAACGCTAACAAAAATAACAAAGATCAACAATATTACCTAGTGAGTGACTAGAAGATTTACTTGAATATTATTGCTAACGTTACTATTATAAACTGTACAACTTCTTAATGATAACATAATATTATTTTATATCTAACTATTTGATTGAACATTACATCCAAGCAAATTATGTGTAGAATTCGTTAGGATTGTTTTTAAATTGTGGGACATACCAACAGACTACAACGCTCTCAGAATAAAGCAGCTCGATCACGTACGAACACGTTTTCATCAGCTTGTGTAGCCTATTTACAATACTAAATTATATTACTAATTTTACTGACATAACTTTGTGGAATTTTTCATAATTATTTTTAACCATGACAGTTTTTAACAATTTGAACATTATTCCACCATATTTTAAACAGTGAATTAATTTTTGGTAACTTATTTAATAAAATGTTATTCACAGTAGACTGAAAGACATTCAAAATCCTAAGAACCATATGTGAACATTGCTTGAATATTTCGATGTACCCCATACTAATTTTTAGTATGGAACCTAATTATACAAGACAACTTTTACATACGAGATTCAACATGAGAACGAAATTAATTATATTCTGTATCCTTTAGAAGTTTATTAATACTATAATATTGAAATATAAATTATTCTTCACAATTGCTTTGGTTCATTTACTTTGGATTTCTTATAAACTGTTCTTCTTAAAATCCTTGTGATTCTGGTATACGTATTATCTACTGTAATTTCTTGTTTTCCCTTCTGCACTATTTATAGCATGTTAATGTGGGCATTAGGTTCTAATCTAAGCTAGTTAATTGTTGTTTTGCGATGGATGGGTTGGGTTGAACGATCCCGATATCTGATGACAAGTGGTACAGTCCACTTTACTGTTGACTGTACTCTTCTCTGAAACAAATATAATCACTTAAGTAAAAATTAGTTTAAGGGTCTGAAACTGGGCCTAAATCAATTTTAAGACTTGTTAACATCGGTTCCAGGAATACCTCTGACCCAAGTGATTATTTCAACCAACAATCATAGTTTTAAAGTGTTCGATCACTTACCAATGAAGTTAAAGTTCATCTCTTATAATATAATTGTACCTGGGGACATAGCCATGGCTCGGTGTAGTTTATTCCCATTTCAAAAGCAATACAGTATAAAGGAAACTCACGTTTTATTTACAACAAATTTTGGCTTTTATTATTTATGTTTCTGTGGAATTTCAATTTATTATAGATGGGAATACTAACCTGGAAATTTACAACACATAATTTATTTTACAGACGATGGTAAAAATCACTTGTTTATTATAGGTATAGTCTATACATGCATAAAAATTGTTGTGAAAATTTGTTTGAATTGCAAAAACCGATTCAAAATTGTAGTTGAAATTATAATTTACATAAAATAAATATAATATTATCAAATATTTATTTTACTGTTAAAACCTAAGTTTGCTAAAATTGCCTTAGTACTTCGGGGATTCAGTTTTGGTAGGAGAGAGCTTAGTAAAATAATCAGTATTTGATCGGAATATTTTCACCATATTGAGTAATATTCAGTGTAATCTTTTGCTCAAAAGTTACAACTAACGTTTTCCCCTTTGTACTTAATTTGTATAATTTGGTAGTATACTGTGGATGGCTTATTATAAAAACTTGTTAAAGGCTTTTGTTTAGTTTTCCTTATTATTTTGTTAAAACGACATAGTTACTTGGCAAAACTTAAGGCCTTAAATTGTTAGATACAATGTTTGGTATTGGCTGTTCATTTTAATCATCTATTAATTTTCACCACAAACACCATAAAACTACAGCCAAAAATAGTCTGTGATAATTTTTGTAAATAGGTTGTAAATAATCGTCCCTTTAGGGCCTAAAACTTTACGTTAAAAAAGATGGTCATTATGACATAAATATAACAACGATGAACAAACTATTTACAACCCCACTTGAGAGAGAGTCTTGAAACTGATTTCCAAGTTCACCTTTGTATTTCGTCCTGGTAATCTCTTGGATAGGAGTGTGTAGAGACAGAAAAGACAATCCAGGATTTCCAGTGCCAGCATCCGACAATGGTCCTGGTGCTACCAACTCTAGAAATGGAAATAAAAATAGTTAGTAAAATAGTAAAAACAAAAACAATTAAATAGCAATTCAAATATGCACACAAGATTTTTTAAATTTTACTTATATGTACCCTGAAAATGCATGGAACTAAATTTTGATGTACATCTGAAGAATCAGATTGCATCTTCACACTAATGTAAATAAATATAATTTACCAACTAGGCTACTATGGTGTATGATATAATAATCATTATTCATCATACGACAAAGTAAATAACAAATTTGAAGTTAAATTTGAGGAGTCTGAGTAATTAAAGTAAAAAATCTGTTCATGGTCAATACCAATTAACCAGTTATTTAAAAGAATTTAATATGTTTTATGTTTTCTTATAACGTAACACTCCCAATGATCAACAGATTTTAGGTCTCGTTTATCTGAATAAATGCTCTGTACAGTTCTTCACTATGACGTTAAATCGAGCTATTCCATAAATGATCAGTTATTTATTTAAAACCAACCCCCTCCCTAGCAGTTTTTTATCGGTAAAGACCCACTAATACTCCCTCAAACGGAATTGTGTGCTTAAAGTCCCAATTAAAATGGGATTTACTTTGTAATAGAGTCATTCACCATTTGTATCATTAAAATAACTTCTGGACTTTTTAAAATTAAAAATACACTTTTAATTTATTCATACAAAACAAACATTTTGCAGTTAATATAGCTGAATGAGGGATCATTTATAAGCATCATCTCTCCGTGACGTAGCTAGTTGTTTAAGTAAGAAATATTATGAATCGAACAAGAAATTATTATTACATACTTATAACAACACATTAAAGACATTATAGTACAATTAATTGTTTAATCGATATGCCTAAATAAGATAAACTTAATGTTACAAGTAGTCGTTTTGTAAATTTTGTAAAAGGAAGAATGGTTGGATTTGTAGTATTATAAATGTAAGCACACATTCCGACGAGGGGGGGATTTTCAGTATTTGGAATTGTCGACTCTTTTATTACGCTGAAAAATGAATATAAATATTGCACGAGGCAAAACGCTAGCTAAACAAATAATTTAAGAATATAATTGTGCCTATAAAAATTCCTATAAAGGAACATTATTAGAGACCATTCAGGAAAATTAAGTCAGGTTCACATGTTTTGGAAACATACGTTGAAAGGATACTGGATTTTACAAGTTCATTCTACACATAAATTTACTTATCTACTTCGATTAATTTATTTTTTACGAGTTAAAAAAAATAATTTATATGTATCACTGTATGTTGTTGGAACGCTCTTCTGTTTCAAATATCTGAATAGGTTGTGTTATATGCAAATTCAGGTATTTAACAATCATAAAAATATATGATAGTGTTACCGCATAAACTTATACACATTGTAAAGCATATCATTTTGGTTAACATTTTTATCTCGTCTTACGATTTGTGAACTATTCAAATAAAAATATTGATTACAGATTCACTAAATGGATTGATGTGTACACATTTGCATGTTGTAAGGTGGTATAAGGTTTCATTTCACTATCAATTACCGTGAGGCGTGAAATAATTATCTTTTAAACCTTGTGGTCCTGTTGAATTAAACTTCGAAACCAAATTCATATAAAAAAGGGTTTACTAATACCTGACATAACAAATGAATGAATATCAATTATACAATGGCAAACATAAACCCTTTTGAAGACGTTACACATTTTTTATAATCACTTAGAAATGTTGGTTTAAAATGTTAAACAACCCATTCAATGGTATATGCGCAATTTTGAGTTTTAAATATCATTTAACTTTTTTTTTATTAAAACGCAAAACATTATTTCAGCCTTAACTGTTTAAATTACAGTTTGAAAATAAATATAAAATAACATTTGATACTCATAAGGATTGTTTCTACTCTACATGCTAAGCCACATCAAGCACCACCTACTGCAGTTAGAATATTCAAAGAGCCTCAATAACATTTTACAGTCCAAAGTAAAACCGCTTGAATAAATACATAAAGTAAATATTACCTAAGGTCCATAAACCTCAAAGTTAACCTTAAGTATGTATGACATTGCATCAATCACGTATCTTTTGACATGACTAGCCTGTTTGAAGGCAAAGGACTGGGCTGTGAAGGACTACTTACAGATGCACATTGAAAACATCCCCTCCCCCTCCCACCACTGATACTCTACACAAACGACAGGTGGATATAACGACATATCAAGGGTCCTCTGCCATTGAGTGGGGAGAAAACCTCTAGAATTGTGTAATACCTTGTCAACTTATCTCACTAACATTCAGTAACCAAGTTTTGGTAGAGTTATTTGCTATCAATCTTGTTTGGTTACTTCTAAAGGAATTAAGACTTTATCAAAGACAATGTACTATGAACCATAAAGAGGTTGATGCGTTTTATTCAAACTAATCGATAATACAAAAAATATATATAAAATGTAAAATGATCAAATGTAAAATTATGTGAATGTTGATGTTTTTGTTTTTTGAGTGAAATAAAAAATCCATTTTTGAAAAATCTCAAAGCCCCATAATATTTCGTTCGGTTTCCTCTTGGAAGTTACGAAGTAGATAGACGTAATACATCATATACTTGGGATACTGCCAAAAAAACCCTCTTATCTTATTTTACAAAAAAAAATTACTACCGGAAACACTGAATGTATCTGTGTAAAATTCGTTGGTTAAAGTTAAACGATGGTTAAAGCGTGAGTCTTATTCTTTTATCTTTGTCGTTTAAAAATGGGTTTGAATTATAAAACAGTAGTACCCCTGTATGCAAAAAAGATCAACCCTTGATCCACTGGTATCCAACAATGAGTGTGTGTAAAAGCCTCAATTTTGGAAAACTAATTTAAAATTTTTAAAATTTTTAGTTACTAAATTTTGAACTTTGTGTCTCCCTACAATATTTTGGATTGTTCGGCTTCTTAGAACACTATGTACAATACTTATACATAAACAAGTAATTTAAAAGATATTTACAAATTCATTTTCTCTGTAGCTCAATAAACTATGCATTTCAGGCGTATTACAGTAATAATACACGCGAATTTGACGTAACTTTAGTCAATCGTAAAATAAAAACATTATATTTTGTTTTAATCCTATGTTTTATGTTCAAAAAGACATACCTGCACACAAATAATTTACTAAAAATAAAATTTGAAATTTATTTTTAACATTACACAAAATAAAACACATTCACCATGTAATGCAGTGAATGGTTGTTTCCAATGATGAATCAGTCAGGGCTTATGAGTCTGTAAGTAAGCGACACGCACTGAAATGTACCTTTAAACCTTCATAATTACCTCACGCTGTCAACCCAGCTTTCTCATTAGGCGCTATAGAAAGCGTCTTTTACACTTTGAAAGCCGGCCTTTCATCGATTAAATACACAGACACGAATGTCACTTTGAATGCCTTTGATCACCTTTGACCGTTTGGTTGGCGGTGCTTAAATTTGTTTTAATTAGCGAGTTTTCCACACAGGGCTCAAAGATGAATTAATTCCATATCTGGGAATCGGAATTCTATAAATTATTATTGGTGTGACGTCATAAACAGGAATAATCAAAAATAGCAGCAAACTTTGTCACAAATATGGGCTTTAGGACTATAACGAATTTTGTATGTTTGACATTGAGAATGATGCTTGAAACCATCATGAAGTAGATTTTGTGTGTTCAAGCACGTTAGATACCGATAATTTCATCCGATTTCGACCAGATTTATTTAGTAGGATATTTCCTATCAGAAACATCCTAGCCAATTTAGTAAAAAAATAACAGAATTTACTTTTTTGGTTATAAATTTTAAAGGGTTGCAGTTCTTTGGTTGAAAGAGAACTGAAATGTCTTAACTGACACAATATTGCAGATTTTAAAGACTCAACAACTTCGACATGTTTGACAACTGATTAGTTCTGAAATAGTTTTCGATATTCATTAAAAACGGTATCAGAAAAAACAATGTTGTCTCTATCTTTTTAGTCTGCTCCTATTAATCAGTCGTTTTAAGTGGTTTGTGGGTTGTTCATTCAAATACGGGGGGGGGATTCAATAAAGAATGAATTAATTATTCTAATCAGCCGTATAAAATCAGATGTTTCAACTGCTAAGTTTGTTTATTGAGTTTTCCGAAACAGTCTCGAATTGCCTCAACTTTTATGTTTTTTATACTGTAGTTTGTACACAAAATTTTTGCTATTTCTCTCACTAACGAACCAATATTTGAAGATCCGTCGTTGGATTTACTACAATAACCTTACTTTCATGCTGTCTAGCAGCATCCACTGTACCTACCTCTCATGAGGCTGAGATGTCGGGCGACCTCATGCCTGTAGAGTGCGCGGTCAGGCCAGTCTCGGTGGAGGCGGGCGACGGACCAGAGGGGTGGCTCCTGGACGGGGGTGGAAGTGGGGGCGGGACTAGCGACATCCTCCGGTACCTTGGATCTATCCGCCTCTACCACTGCAAACATGATTACCTCAACTTAACTATGTTACTCTGGAGTTTTAAGGGTTAAATCGTAGATGGGGGTCAGAGGATGGTTTTGATGGAATCTGTTGGTCTGGTATTGTAGCTACAATTAAGTACTTTTTTGAAGTGTTCCTTTTTGGTGCAGGAATCGCAAAAATTCTCAAGGGAACGTGGTCCGAAGGACTCAAATTTATACAGAGTGTCCCTGAACAACCTGTATCCCTTTTGTGGTATTGTTCCTTGCATAGAGACAGATTTTGCAATAATAACCATGGGTCTCCCATGCCTAGTTTTCCGTCTATCAACTCGTATTTGCTTTTTACAAATTTCCTTTTAAATTTTTAACGCTTCAACATACAATCTTTTAATTCCGTACATAAATGTAAAATTACCTAAAACGACTTTTCAAAAATTATTTTTGTATTTTCAACAATTTCGAAATGGCGGAAATTTAGAAATCTAAATCATTAATATCTCGAAAACATAGGATTTTATCGTAAAACACAAGAAATAATAAAATTGTTTAAATTGTAATACAAATCTAATGATATTTTAATCAACAAAACTAGTTGAATAACAACAAAGTTATGACACTTTTTATCACCCAATGTTTTAATATAAATAATTAAAACATTGATCAATAATATGGATATAGTAAATGTTATATACTAAAACTATACGGAATAGTTATTTGTGCAACTAGTGAGGAAAGTGAGCAATTGACTCACTCGAGAGAAATCCTTACTCACTCGCCTGAATGGTTTCTCGAGTGAGGCAATTGTACTTTGAACTCGAGTTGCACATTATACTTTTCCTACAGTTACCATAAAACAAATAAATTGGTGAAGAAACATAACCTATTTTTACACAGAAGTGAACTTTTAATATAACATTTAACGTGAAGTGACAAATACAACAGTACAACAGCTGACCAGCTGATTTACAGCCAGTGCTGCCAACGTATTTCGCGCGCATACGACGTTGCCTGCATGTTACGCGCTCACTATTTCGTGCCTTCACGATGCAAATCTGGAGTGAGACAAAGTAATTAGAGTGAGACAATGTTAACATTGTCTCACTGATGAGCGAATTGGCCACTTTGCTTTCTCAAATCAGTGAGAGAACATGTACATTGTTAGGTAACTGTAGGAAAATTTAAATGTTTCATCATTCAGTCTTATCAGCTGTTACTTCTCAATTTATTGTTACCAATTGATCAGCTGATAAATAGCATTGTCTGAACAATGAAATAGCTGTTTCCCTACAGTTACCTGACAAAGTGGGCTTCCTCGCACTGATTTGTAGTCTATATTGCAAAATCTGTTCTTCCCTAACCAAGGAACAAAAGAGGTACAGGTTGCTAAGGGACACCCTGTATATGTCGGAGATCGCACTCGTTCCTAGAGATACACAAGGGGCGTTACACTCGTCGTGCTAAGATGGGATACAACACTTGGCTAGCAGCAAACCACAAACTCTTGGTCCAACTAACATTTGTAGATACGTTTGTAAACGCTAAAGCTAGATTTGCAGTCGGATGACTATGAGTCCTACATTGCATTACGTAAGATTTTTTGTATGGCGTATATAATAAAATAAATATAAGCCACCTGACACACAATGATGTTAATTATAGTCATTACGCCAGTTAACAATTGTATTCGAATATGAGAATATAATCAATGGCTTACCTTCCACATTTTCAGATCCTACGTCAACTTCAGGCTCTGAGGTGGGTGTTCCAGGCTTCTCAAAAATACAAAAGAAACATGTTATTTTACTCTAGGTATTTATTTAACACGTATACGGATAGAATGAGCTTTTTCAAATTATCTTAAAACTATTCACACTGTAGTAGGACAGAAACAGAACGTTTATCCAAGATCAAACTGAAGTTGATTAGTCTCTAGATGTACACTCGATTTCGATAAACGGCGTTTTGGTCCAATAAAAGAAAACCTTGAAGGTTAAATCTGCTTGTTTGTTGGTCTACTTTACGACCTGTTTTTCTGTTTGTAGGTTACAATAATTGTTGAAATGTTTTAACGTTATTTATATCTATTTAAGTAAAATAAAATTTTATCACTCTAAATGGGTACAAATAAACATAATTAATAAATACAAGCACTTGTAACTTGCATAACTATTTATTAAACGTCTGAGCAAAAAATTGACGAGTAAAACTAACTAGTTTTGGACCAAATAATTTAATAATTTCTAACAATGACCAAGGGCTTTAATTCTAGAATCAGGTGTTTCACAACACAATAATAGTTTGGATGACTACTAATTTTCATTTAAATATCCCACATTACCTTCTCGATTCACTCGTATCACGTGTTTACAAAAATCAATGCCCACTTCACGTCGATGGCGATCACATCATTAACAATTAACAGCTTCCCATGACAAATCACCTATATGCGTGACCACCAGCGTGTTATTTACTAGGCCGTCCTGTGCTTGTGTTATGATTAACTCGAGCGTGCCAATGTATGTATCGATCGCGAGCGTGGCGGCGTCTGACGTATCACGAATACTGAGCCGATTGATTTGGATTTTTATCGCCACTTGTAAATTTTTATTAGTTAAACTAAGCTATGGGTGACCGTCATGCTATTAAAACTTTGCGAATATTGTTATGGAAAATGTTAATAGGTCGTCTTGTAGAAGGTGAAATGTACGAGTAGAAACAATGTGATAAGATAAACACATGAAATTAGCCTTCTCTGATTTGTATATCTTTGAGGTTGAAAGATTTCTTACTACCTAGATTAACCTCAATGGGCTGAATGAATGAAACATCACCGTACGGAAGATGTAGTAGTGAGTGGTTGCTTTAACATGTAGCCTATTGCTCGACTTCTTATCAGAAGGCTATTGCTTCATTGCTTCCATTGTGAATAGAGAGTGTAGTCTTTGATTATTTATTGCTGGACCCAGTTATCATTTATCATTATGCTATTTAATTCGTGATCAAAGAAAAACATTAGGTTAACATAACAATATTGGGTATTCATAATCCGAACAACGCTACACAAAAAATTGATTGACATTTCAAGATTACACTTAATTTAAATTTTAGTTGGAAAACACATTCAAGTATTCATGAAATAATAATTTTAGTCCATATATAATGTATGTGATATGAATTCTTTATTGCTTGCTCAAAACTTCTTATTTCTTCATAAAAAATCTCCAGAATGTTTCCTTTATTGTAGCTCTTGACAAATATGCTTATTTTTCAATAAATTGTCTTTGTATGGCTTTATTATTCTCTTAAGGAAACTGGACCAGTGTGAGTGAATATCGAGATGAGGATTCCATTGCAAAAGAATCTATACATTAGATCTTTATAAATTCAAATTTTATTTTTTATAATACTAAACGGCCTATAAGGTGTTTTATTAAAGTTTTTTTTTTATTTAATCAAATAATTTTCCCGCACAGGTTCTGTAACCTCAGGGCTTTATTGTTCTATTATATTATAATTAGTTAGATTTATGCTTTGAGGAGTATTTATGTTTTTTGTTTATATTAGAATAAATACAATACAGTAACATGAACTACTTATGTATAACCTTAGCTTATACAGATGTATTTATTGTACCTATTGTATTTGAAAAGAACAATAAAAGATTTTCCAATTTAATTCATTCAAATAAATAAATTTGAATACTAATGGACTTTTATTAGTTGCTTATATCTTTTAACTAAAATATTGTTTTAATGGGTTCAAACACTATGCTGTAAGACAATTTTGTATGTACTTGATTTACAAATGTATAAATCAATTCCATGAAAAAAATGTGTTCCCAATGTTTCATAAACAGTTTCCTAGATATAGATAGAAACAGTTTCCTTAAGTAACAACCACTCAATCAGTCTCTCTGATCTAAGAGTAATTAACATAGATTCACTTCGATATCCTCCAATCAATATGCTGTTAAGCAGAGTAGGGTGTTGACAGGTAGGTGGCGTTATCTAATGACAGAAGCCACTGTTTGTATGGAGACGGCCGCCATCTTGGATTGATAAATGGTGTTTAAACACACGTGGCGTTGTTTGATGCCAACGTGGCCAAGCTGTCTCTTGCAACACCGACCTAATGCTTTAAGCGAATAATCAATTATTGTTGATCAAAGACGTCAGTGGTTAAAAAACGGGTGTACAGACTGAGTTGGGTAGAAATATTGACATTGACTTATGTTGTAAAATCACACAAGTCTAATGTAAAATGCATCAGAAGGTTATGCATGGAACAAACGTACAAGAAGGATTCGTGAACCGACACTGTTGGTCCAACAGCCCCAACGGAACCAACAGTCTTGTTAGAGCAAAAATACAGGGGTAAGTTCCTTGTGTTACAAACGTTTTCATACAATTAATGGTTGAACAGAGTTGGATGCATAGAACTATAAACCTTGGATCCCGTGTGTATTATTTGTTTTACAGCACTAGAAAATTTTTTTTGACGTTTTGATACCACCATTATATTTTGCGGTGCTCTACGTTGCTGTAACGTGAAACATGTCTTGGAACATTAGCAACAGTTTATATAAATCCAAGATGCCAAAACAATGGTCGAAATTCAGCGACAAAAACTGCAGTATTTGCATAAATTTGATATGAATTCAAGATAGTTGCAGTCCCTCAACTTGTTGTTATAATTAAAATAAACATATAAAATAAGTCTGCTACGTGAAATTTTTCATTACTGAAATGTTTGAAATGCTATTTGCATTGCAAACCAATAAAAATCGCCACTTTGAAATACGAATACATAGAATTAAAACAGATGCACGATAAAAAACAACTACTGCAATTTGAACTCCTAGTTATGTTTAATTTTTTTTTTTTTTAAGTGTATTGACTAGATTAGTCTTTACATGTGCTCTAGTTACGTTGCTATATTCTAATGGGTTGGTAAGATGATATCTTTGACGATTTTAAGCTACTCAAGTTCCATTACCATTACAGTTTCATTACAAAAATATGTCAATGGTGTCACTCTTGTTCCATGGTTTTGGGCCAGTTATACCTTCTCGACGTAACTTTTCACCACACAGACTCATCTCCACCAGCGACAGTAACAGTTTTTCCCAGTGTTTAGTTTGGATTCACAGGATGTAATCACCAGAATCCTCGTCTGTCGGCTCAACACTAATAATGCATGTAGCTTCGCTGCACCGCCATGCAGCTCCTCAATATTGCAAGCGATGTTATTGGTTTTTTGTTTGCACGTCACAGCTGCCGCTCGTCTTGTTTACAATTTCTTTTCTCAAATTATTCCCTCCCCCCCCGCCATAATCCCTTCATCCTCTAGGCTACTGACGATTGTGCCTATTGATTGGGAAGTAAACAATATCTTGAGAGTTTCATGAAGAATTAACTTTAAAAAATGTTGAAGTTTATTGGACTTTAATGACTACTTGGCATTAAATCAATCTATGAAATCAGCGTTAGGGATCTACTAAACTATACAAAGAGTCAATTCTAGACATATTCTTAGGAATATGTTAATCATTGTGTCAACATGTGCCACATGTGCAGTGAAGTGAGTGTGTTTTTGGTGGTGCCTCTAAAGGGCCACACAATCAGTGAGAGGAAGTGCCAACTGCCAAGCAATATTATTCTGTCAATTCAAGTTTTTCTTTTTGTCTGAGATTTATCACTGATCGTTTTCATTCTTAATATTTTAATCCCTGTTAAATTTTTTTAAATCTTTATCAATTGTTGTTACTCCTTGTTGTTGTTTTCTATAGTTTTTAATGATATATTCCTTTCAATTATTTGTGTATTTCTATTGTTGTTTGATTATCTTCTCGAATATTAATATCTTGTAATGTAATAATTTGTAATATAACGGGATTGTTATTTATTTATATTGTTATGTATTATATTGTTATTTATTTATATTGTTATTTATTTTTATTGTTATTTATTTTTATTGTTATTTATTGTTGATTTTTCTATCGATTGTCTTATTGATTTTGTGTTTAAGCTGGTAACTGTTTTTCTCTCATTTTCAAATGGCTCTGTCGTTGGTATGTATGTTTAATGCACAATGTATGATGTAATCTATGTTAAACCCTCTTGTAAAATGGTGTTTGCAGTTTAATAAAAATGAAATGAAATGAAATGAAATGAACAGAATTTAAAAAAGGCTTATGAAGTGTTGTGCATAAGGTGTAATTGTAGAAATATAGTTTACAAAACAGCTTTGACTGGGAAACCCGATCTAGTAATATGACATAGTATTTCTATCTTCTTTATTACGTAATACGTAAGGCAGAGGCGATTGACCCAATTGCGCTTAAATAATTATTATGAGCATGGTATGAGTGAGACGGCTTGTAGAAATTTGATACTGACCAAGCTTTAATTTACCTGGACCCTAGGGTTGGATGTAATGCCTAACTGCCTAGAAAGTGTACAAAGGCAAAATATTATGATTCATCGACATTCACTTGACATTATTTCGAATAATTTCGAACAAACTTCATATCAAACAAACTAGGTTCTGAAGCGTTACTAGCGAGTGCAAAATATCTTATGTTTGACGTTTTTTAACATCCAATCACTCCCATTGCTTCAACCACTATTTGGCTTGAACATTACTACATTATAATTCCAGCAGGTAAGCGTCAATTTTTACACAGGTTTGATATCTATTCAAAACATTTCCTTACAGTAAATACACACTACCAATGCACGATGCAATTTTCTAGCTTTTGAGTATCGTTTCC